ATTATCAGACCATAGTGAAATGAAATTGGAGATCAATAGCAAAGGAAACTGCACGGATTTCATAAAGACATGAAAATTGAACAGCACACTTCTGAACAACCAACAGGTCACAGAGGAAATTAAAGAAGAAATCAGACAGTTCCTACAATTAAATGACAATTACAATACAACATATCAGAATCTATAGAATATAATGAAAGCAGTCTTATGAGGGAAATTCACAGCAGTGAATACTCATTTTAGCAAAACAGAGTGAGCTCACTCACACAACTTGATGCTGAACCTCAAGCTTCTAGAAAAAGAAAAGCAGGAAAAATCCAAAGCTCATAGAAGGGAGGAAATTATAAAGATCAGGGCAGAAATTAATGCAATGGAGACTAAGAGAACAATACAAAAAATCAATAAAGCCAAGAGTTAGCTCTTCAAAAGAATAAACAAAATTGACAAACCCTTGGCCAAAAATATCAAAAAAGGAAAGAAAAGGCCCAAATACATGCAATTAGGAATGAAAACAGTGAAATTACAACAGACCCAGAAGAAATCCAGAGGATCATCAATATCTACTTTGAGAACCTGTATACCAGTCAGATGGAAAATACAGAAGAAATGGACAGATTCCTAGATTTCTATGAGTTGAACAAAGATGACCTAAAAAATCTAAATGACCCAACATCAATCAATGAAATTGAAAGCATAATTAAAACCTTACCAACTAAGAAAAGTCCAGGTCCAGATGGCTTCACTGCTGAATTCTACAAGACATTTAGAGAGGAACTACTGCCAGTCCTGTTTAAACTCTTCAATGAAATTTAAAGGGAAGCAATTCTCCTGAATTAATTCCTGGAAGAAAGCATCACCTTGATTCCAAAAGCAGAGAAAGACTCAACTAAAAAAGAGAACCATTGGTCAATCTCACTAATGAACATAGATGCAAAAATCCTTAATAAGATACTCCCAAATAGAATGCAGGAAATCATTAAGATCATACACCCTGACCAAGTGGGATTCATCCCAGGGATGCATGGATGGTTCAACATATGCAAATCAATAAATGTAATATAGTATTTTAATAGAGCCAAGGACAAAATCCATATGATCATCTCAATAGATGCAGAGAAAGCATTTGATAAAATCCAACACATATTTATGATAAAAACCCTCCAAAAAGTTGCAATAGAGAGTCTCTAACGCAATCTGATGAAAGCCATCTATGAAAAACCAACAGCCAATATCATGCTAAGTCATCAAAAACTGAAATCCTTCACATTAAAACCAGGAACAATACAAGGATATCCACTATCACCACTCCTGTTCAATATAGTTTTGGAAACATTAGCCACAGTGATTGGACAAGAGAAAGAAATAAAATGAATAAAGATAGGAAATGAAGAAGTCAATTTGTCACTATTTGCAGATGATGTGATACTCTATTTAGAAGACCCCAAGAACTCCACCAAAAGTCTTCTAGATTTAATAGCCAAATTCAGCAAACTAGCTGGATATAAGGTGAGCACACAGAAATCAATACCTTTCCTGTATACAAAAAATGGACTCACTGAGAGAGAAATAGGACAATCAATTCCTTTCACAGTAACATCCAAATAATTGAAATACCTAGGAATCCACCTAATAAGAAGTCAAAGACCTCTTCTCTGAAAACTGCAACACTCTAAAAAAAAAAGAGATTGAAGAGGATATGAGAAAATGGAAAAAAAAAAAAAGAAAATGGAAAGACAGCTCTTGTTCCTGGGTAGGAAGAATCAACATAGTGAAAATGGCCATACTTCCAAAACTGATATATAGATTCAATGCAATCCCAATTGAAATCCCAGCAGCATATTTCACAGACTTTGAGAAAGCAATCCAAAAATTCATTTGGAACAAGAGACCTAGAATAGCAAAAGCAATTTTAGGCAATAAAGTCAGGGTAGGGGTATCACAGTCTCCAACTTGAAACTATACTACAAAGCCACTGTGATAAAAACAACATGGTACTGGCAAAGAAACAGACTTGAGGACCAGTGAAACAGATTAAAAGTTTCAGAAACAAGTCCAGACACATTCAGCCACCTCATCTTCGACAAAGGAGCAAAATACCCTCACTGGAGGAAAGATAGCCTCTTTAATAAATGGTGCTGGAAAAACTGGGATTCAACTTGCCTAAGATTAATATTAGACCTCACCATGTACTCTCACCATGTACTAAACTAAAATCCAAATACATTAAAGATCTAAATTTTAAAACAGAAACACTAAACAGGCTGGAAGTGAGGTTTGGTAGAACTCTTGAAGACAATGGCATATAAAAAGATTTTATCAATAAAACCTCAGTTGATTGCACAAACAATCAACAAGTGGGATGGATATCTTCTTACTAAACAGCTTCTGCACAGCAAGAGAAATAACCAACAGTGTGAAGAGACAACACACAATGTGGGAAAAACTTTTCGTCAGCTCTTCCTCACACAAAGGTCTACTATCTAGAATATATAAAGAACTTAAAAAAATCAAACCTTTCCCCTAATTTCACATTCTCAATTATACCATTAAGATCCTTATGTACAATTACAGTTTTTCACACTAGAGAAACTATTTACACATGTGTGACTTATTTATTTCACTTCTAAGTATATCCTCAATATGCATCCATTTTCCTATGAATGACTCTAATTTCTCATTCTTTACAGCCCAGTCGAATTCCATTTTATAGAAAAAACCACACATTCTTTATCCAGTCAGAAGGGAGAGCAAGGGGAAAGGGAAAAAATGAGAACGAAGACCTGTAATGTAAAGGTACAAGATCCCAAAGATGCATGTAACTGTACTGTATACCTAAAATGTACCAATAAATTCAATGAGAAAAAAATCAAATCTCCCAGATTTAAAGACCCAATCTAAAAATGGGCATCTGAAATGAACAGACATTTCTCAAAGAAGTAGAAATAACAAATAAATATATGAAAAGATGTCCAACATCACTGGTCATTTGAGAGATGCAAATGAAAACAACATGAAGACTCCACCCCACTCTAGAAAGAATGGCTGCAATCATGAAATCAACACAAGTTCTGGCAGGGTTATGGGGAAAGAGGAACCCTGCTCCACTGCTGGTGGGAGTGTAGACTGGTGCGACCACTGTGGGAATTAGTATGGAGATGCCTGAAAGACTAGGGTTGGAGGTCCCATTTGACCCTGCTATCCCCCTGCTGGGTATCTTCCCCAAGAAGTAAAAGAATCATGCCACAGTGATATATGTGCACCCATGTTCAATGCAGCACAATTCATGATAACTTGGAAGCAGCCCAACTCTTCATCAACAGGAGAATGGACAAGGAAAATGTGTTGTTGTTGTTGTTGTTTTATAAAATAGAGTAGTACTCAGTCATAAAGAATGAGAAACTAGAGACATCTATAGCCAAATGGATGCACATTGAGGCCATACTCCTAAGTGAAATAAATAAGATGCATATATGCAAATACTGAATAGTTTCTCTAGTGTGAGAAACTGAAAGTGTAAATAAGGACTAAAAGGTATAATAGATAATGTAAAATGGGAAGAAAAGGTACAAAGGGGAAAGGCAAGTGGGATTCACAGGGGAAAAGGAAGATGGGAATGGAATTAACATGAGAAAAAGAAAAAATGGAAACAAAGAAAGAGAGGGGTGAAGAGATTGAAGGGAGGGCAAGAGAATGAGGAAAATAAGAACCAAGATGGATTATGTAAAGGTGCAAATTTCCAATGCTGAATGTCATTATATTGTATATCTTTTTTTTCAGCTTTAATTAAGTTTATTGGTACATTTTAGGTATACAGTACAGTTACATTCATTGTTGGGATCTTGTACTTTTACATGACAGGTCTTGGTTCTCATTTTTTCCCCTTGTCCCTGCCCTCCCTTCACCCTCTCCTCCCCTCCCCATCTACAAACACTTTATTTCCATCTTTTCATTATCTCACATTTTTTTCTTTTCCCTTATTACCCTTCCCCTACCTATCCCACCTTCCCTACACCTTTAGCTCCTTTCTTCCATAGCCAGCCTGGTAAGAGCAAGGTCCTGAGTTACATCCCTGGTACCAGGGGAAAAAAATTAAGACAAAAAAATCCTGTCTTCTACAAGTTAAAGGAGAGTCCACAGAAGAGATTTTATGATCTACTGGTTTGTCTCTATACTACCCTTGTGTTAAAAAGAGGCAGGGAGAAAAAGTCCAAGAAACAGAAATATAAAGTAATGGTAAAGGGATAAGAAAGCTAAGATTTGTTGTTATTACTATATACCAGGTACTACCCTGGGCACTTTGGATTCATTATCCCACTTACAAAATACTGAAATACTGGAAATCTGTCTATACACCACTTTTTAAACACTATACTACCCTTGTGTTAAAAAGAGGCAGGGAGAAAAAGTCCAAGAAACAGAAATATAAAGTAATGGTAAAGGGATAAGAAAGCTAAGATTTGTTGTTATTACTATATACCAGGTACTACCCTGGGCACTTTGGATTCATTATCCCACTTACAAAATACTGAAATACTGGAAATCTGTCTATACACCACTTTTTAAACACATACAGAAAATGGAATACTTGAAACCACGTCCTTTGTGGAATGTATAAAATGGGGAGATCTCACCATGCTAGCAAAGACTTTAAGTATATATGGGGATGGGTGGAAAATAAACTATCTGTGTTCTATGTGCCTATCATTGCTGGGGTATGAGAAGCACAGCAAGATGGATTTCAATGCAACACAATAAAGAATTGCCCAACCAAGCCATTCCAAAACTGAATGGCATGCCTCAGAAGGTCGTAAGTTCTGCATTAATTAGAAATGTTCCCTGGGCCAAGACAGAAATATTTAAAAGGCGATTCGAATATTAAATGTAAAGTTAGGAAGAGCTGGTCCCAGATTCTGTGAAGCTGGGCGTGGGTGCGTCCTCCTGCTCGCCCCCGGGTGGGCAGAAGGAGCAGCCTTATCTGGGGAGCTCATCTGGGGACGCAGGGCGAGGCTCCCCTTGTGCTTCATCCTGGGGCGCTGGTTGGGAGTCTCCCGCTGGAAGCGAAGGCGCTGGCGGGAGCAGGAGCAGGGGAACCTTCTTGTCCTCCCCTGCTGTGCAGTCAGGACGAAGATCCCTGACTCTGCTAGTTCAAATGCCCGGGGTTCAGCCACAAAGCCTTCAAGGAGATCTGAATTCCCTCCGGTACAAAGTGAATTTCTCCGCTGAAGACTTAGTGTATTCCTTCCACTTGGAGTTGGCTCCAGAGACTAAGTTGAGTACCAAAGAACTTGAGATTAGCATTTCTTCAGACAATGCAGTGGTAGTGCTGGCCAAAGCTCCAGGGAGCCGTGGACATTGGCAAGAGTGGTTCTATGGTTTAAACAGCAATTCTTTGGAGGATCTCACTATGTATTCCAGGCTGGCCTCAAAATTGCTGAGATCCTCCTGCCTCAGCCTCCAGAGTGCTGGATTACAGGAAAGGTTGTCAGTGAAGAAAATGTTAATGAGTTTCTTGAAGTGTTCCTGAATCCTCCATTCAAACAGAAAGTGCTCCCAGCCCCAGCAGTAATTGAAGTTCTTCAGGTTACTGATGAGAAGATTCAAATTCATGCCAAGTTAAAAGAATGTAGTAATCCTGATCAGCTTCAAGGAAAGGAAAAAAGAATCAGTGAAGGATGTTCTCTAACTGAAAATGAAAATATAGAACATCTTCCCATCTCTACAATCAGATTCATCTATAGCAGTTAAAGCACCAGGAATAGATATTTGTGGTTCAGTTGCAGGCTTTCAGCAAGAGCCTCTTGATGTTTCTCCAATGCAGCTAGGAAAGTCTCAGCTACCTGAGGCAAAAATGGAACCTCAATTTGTAAAAGAAAAAAGTGCTACTTATTCAAATGAGGAAGATAATTTAAAGGAATGTGTCATAACTGAAGGAAAACAGTTCAACGGAGGTCACCAATCTTCATCACTAAACAAAACTGTCATTCACAATACAATTGATTTTGATAGCATAGAAGAAATCAATACACAGGACGGTAGTGTGCAAATTATTAAAGATCATGTGACTCATTGTGCATTCAGTTTTCAGAATTCTTTGCTGTATGATTTGGACTAATTCAATGAAATTTTGGAATTTGAATGTTAAAAGTAAAAAATTGGGGGATCTAAAATAGTTTGTTAACTATTAAAACTAAAGGTATTGAACAAAATATAAATTAAAATTTGCAATTTTAATTCCAGTGGGGAAATAAGACATTTTTCTTTAGAATTTAAAGTTTCCTTAATTATATAAATGTAAATTTTGTGATTACTCTGATTGAGGTTTTTTTTCTAACAGAGAGTAAAACATTGTTTTAATACAACCTGTATTGACTTCTGACGTTGATTTTTTGCTTTTGTTTATCATTAAAGTTTCCAAAAAAAAGGTAAAGTTAGAAAAGAGGATGGCTCAAGTTCATTCCAACCCTGGTATTATGCAAAAACAAGGGGGGTAGACTAACAATTAGACCAAATCTTCATGCCTCTGAACTCAAATAGGTAGAAACACAATACATCTAACCAAATTTTTCTCATTTGAACTATCTAACTTATATTTCCTTACCCTTTCTAACTCACAGAATATATTTCTTACTTGCTGGTTTCTTTCATTATGAGACCCAAACAAATAATTTCACTTACTAATATCAGACCTTATTATTAATCCCCTGGGACTGGACATTGTTATTTTCTACAAAGTTTGTCATTAGAGTACTTTCATTTATTTGAGTAACAGATATTTACTGAGCACTTAAAACATGTCAGTCACAGTACTCCAGGTTGGGAGAGCAACAAAAACAAAAAATAAGATCTCTACCTTCATGGAGTTAAGTCTTCTGTTTTCATGCATATCTTTTCATTACTTTCTGATTAAAAATAACAAATTCATACAAAAAGAGAAACATTTTGCTCTTATTAAACATTCAGCAGAAAAATAATAATTATCAATTTAGAAGTACCCATTTATATAATTTAAGAAGTCATATTTTTACCAAAAATATACTACTACTTATGCTTCTGGAGTTAGTACAAAAGTGCATAATATTCTTTGGTATGATTAATTTATATGAACAAATTTTCATAAAATCTGAATCAATAAATGAATACAATTATTTGAATAAAAAACCACTAGTAAAGTTAATTTGCTGGCTTTTTGCAGTTTTTAGATAGGTAGTACCTATCTAAATCAGGAATGCAAATATTGGTGGTTATTATATCTAGTTCTTACATTCCTCAATGTTTGATTTACTATGAAACTAAATTTTGTAGTAGGATTAGGAGTTAGGAAGCAGAACTTTCAGCTGGTGGATGTTACCAAGAATACTATACTGAAGAATCCAAAAGTCTATAAAGCCTTAAACTTGTGCCATTCTCAGCCCTGTTCTAAGGGGAGGAATTCCTGTACTGGTACTGGAGCCCATTCAGAATCCTCTGTAATAACGTGACATCTACTTATTAATTGTGGTTGATTAAACCAGTGATACATACGGTTTAGACTAAAAGTGCTCCCAAAGGTTCATATGTTCAAAGATGGAGTTTTGGAAGGTGATGCTAAATTCAGTGGATTAATCCATTGATGAATTCATAACTGAATGTTCTATTAGGAGGTGGTGGTGGTGGAGGAGGTTGGTCAATAGGGGTGTGATCTGGAAGAGTATGTCCTGTCCCCATTCCATTCCTCTCCCTCTGCTTTTTAGCTACCATGAAGCAAGCAACTTTCCTCTGCTATGCCTTTCTGCCATGATGTTTCTGCCTGGGAGCCAGCAACTATAGACTGAAACCTCTGAAACCATGAGCAGAAATAAGCCTTTCATCCTGTAAATCAGGTATTTTGTCCCAGCAACAAAAAGCTGACTAAAGCAGTAAGTTATTTCATTAGCCACATGAGATCATACATTGTTTGGCATATAGTAGCACTCAATGAACATTTTTGAGTGAGTTCACAAATGGGAGGAAGTGGAAGTAAACTCAAAATTGGTATCATTATTGACTAAAGAGAAAATACCTCAGTAGTTCATTCAATAAGTACTTGATTTCTATAAATAAATTAGACATTGTATACTATTTCAGGGTATACAGGGATAAGCAAAAACCAGATATAATCACATTAACCCTCAAGGAGTTTATAGTCTAGTTGAAAAAATATTAATCCAAAGTTATCATTAAAACTCCAATATGATATGTATAATATGGTAGGTGGTAGGTTAAGTGACATGGTTTGTGAGAGGGTAAAACAGAGGGATTTGACCTTGTTGAAGAAGTCAAGGAAAAATGTTTAAAGAACCAACAAAGAAGTGCTCAAATGAAATGAGGTGGAAAGAGAGTTCCAGGGAGAAGGCCTGAGGTTCTTAATTTTCCTTGCATTGTTATTTCCAATGATATATGTTAAATTCTTGTTTCCAGGTTCCCTTGGATCCAGAGAACTTGAAATTTATTTTACAACAATATTATGTTTTCTATTGTTTCTATTTTTATGTCATAGTCCTGCGATTTGACTTCAATCCTATCTTTTGTCACTTTAATTCATATTTTCCATAACAATCTTTTAAACTGGTTTGTGTGACAAATGTAGACATCTTTGTAGATTTGTAGCAAAGGGAAATATAGGAGAAATTTGTGAAAAAAGATAAGAATTAATCCACGTAAGTCCTGTAGACAAGGTACAATATATGATTTATTCAAGTAAGTTTTCAGGGCCAGGGATTTTGCTCAGTGGTTCTGCCACCTCCTCGCAAGGACAAGTTCTTGCGTGCAATCCCTGGTACTGAAAAAAAAACAAAAAAAAACAAAAAAAAAACACAATTTTGGGCTGGGGATTTAGTTCAGTGGTTCTGCCACCTGCCTCACAAGTGCAAGGTCTCAAGTTCAACCCCCAGTACCAAAAAAAGAGTAAGTTTTCTCAGAAATTGAGATTTAAACAAAAGCATACTATTAATATTATATCTCCACCCCACCAATGATGTCATATATTTGATTTCGACCAACTATATTCACATGAACAAAATCTCTCAAGCAAAATAATTTCACCATTCTTGAAAATTGTGCTCAAAAAATGATTTTTTTCTCTTCAGTAACTTGAATCATAGGTGCTTAGGAATCAGTTTCAAGCCACACTTCACATAATAATCTTTTAATTTTATATTATAGTCATTTAGCTTTTGTTTCTTTTTTGTATCACTTCTCTTCAGTGAGATTTAAAGAAGTCTAAACCAAAATAGGAAAGATCTCTGCTTTAGGCTACATCAGCAAATTAAAATAAATACGCTCTATATGGAGTAATTTAGAAATTAAAGCTAAACAAAATATGAAAAGGTGAGAAAAGTAGATAAATCTGGTACTTTCAACCAAGAACCATAGATTCCACAACACACCAGCTCATGTGTGCACATGTGTGCATACCCACATATAATTCCTTTTGTTTGCATTTTTCCTTTTAAAAACATTTGTTATTTTTAAACTGATGCATTAAAAACATAAAAAGTCTACTTTTTATGGAGTCCCATGTGATGTTTCAATACATGTATGCATTGTGTCATGTTCAAATCAGATTAAATATATCTAGCTCTTTAAATACATCACTTTTTCATGGTGATAGCATTCGAACTTTTCTAGTTTTTGAAGTATACAGCATCTCATCATTACCTATAGTCATCCAACTGTCCAGTTGCACCCAGAATGTCTTTCTCTTCTCTGCCTGTAGCTTAGTTCCCATTGATGAACCTCACACCATCCCTCCTTACACCTAAAGGTTTTTAGTATATTCAGAATTGTGCAACCATCACCCAAACCAATCCTAGAACATTTAAAAAGAACTCCTGTACTTATTAGCAGTCATTCCCCATTTCTCCTCAACTTCCTATCCCGAGGCAATCAGAAGTCTACATTCTGTCTCTATGCAGGTGCTTATCGCATATATTTTATATGAGTGAAATCATTCTATATATGACCTTTTGCATCTGACACTTAGCATAATGTTTTCAAAGTTCTGCTATGTTGCAGAATATACCAGTTCTTCACTTTTACAGCTGAACAATACAAAATTGCATTAACATACCATATTTCATCCCTTCATTCATTGATGAAAAGTTCATTGTTTCCTCTTTGGACTATTATAAATAATGCTGCTATGAATATTTGTGTACAAGTGTTTGAATGGATTTATGTTATTTTTTCCTGGGTATATGTCTAAGAGTATAATTGCTGGGCCACATGGTAACTGTACATTTAATTTTTTTTAGGTAAAGCTAGACTGATTTTCAAAAACATTGCACCATTTTATAATGCCAGAAACAATGTACAAAGGCTCCACTTTCTCTATATCCTTACCAATAATTGCTGTTGTCTTTATTATTGTCCTATTTGGTGTGAAGAAATATTTCACTGTGGTTTCATATCCATTTCCCTAATGGCTAATCAGGTTAAGCATCTTTTCATGTGTTTATTGGCTATTTGTATATCTTTGCAGGCAAAATAACATGGCTGACTTTGAAATACCCACTTATATTTTCATAAGGATAAAAACATTCCTTCCCATTTTCTGAGCCTAGAATTTACTTTTTTTTCCCCTTGGTACTGGGGATTCTGACCTCAGGCCCTTGCGATTACAAGGCAGTTGGCAAGGCAGTTGGCGGAACCACTGAGCCAAATCCCCAGTCCTAGAATTTACTTTTAATTCCACTTTATTTAGAATAAAAGGTATTTTCGCACAGTTATAATAGACAGTGAATTCAAGGAATGCAACTGCTTTGTAAACTGAGGGTCAATTGTAACTCCTTTTATTTGAAAGATTTGTTCCTTATTTGAAAATATCACATCACTGGTGGGAGTTCCTTGGTGGCATTTGAATTTCTGGTGCAACATGCCTTTCTTTATCAGTCTGCACTTGTTCCTGTGACATGCAAATATGTCTCAGACAGAATTTGAGATTCTTTTTAACAGACTTAGAAATACAGAGATCTCATTGAATGTTAACAATGAGTGCTTTTAAAAAATGTATCATTTCCAACCAATGTATAAAAAATAAGATAACCATGTTGTGAATATTACATATTCAAGTTTTTAATTTTTAATAGTCTGTTACTTTTCAATTTTACTTAAATTCTGTCACCAGAAGCCTCTAAA